CCTCCTCAGTGCTGTCCATCACTAGCCTGTGTCACCATGACTGCGCTGCCACAATCCAGAGCTCCCGTGCACAGGACTCCCCTGGAGGGAGATCAGCAGAGCAGCCGGGACGGAGGCACCAGCGCGCCGGCCCAGAGAAAGGGGATGAGGTTCACGGCGCTCTTAACGGAGGAAGCAAAGCCGGGGTGAGCGCATGGTCTCTCCTCAGAAGCGGGGCTCCCTCCCTTCCCTTCCCCGCCGGTGCATGTGCACTTACTTATTCCACCAGGACAGGGGAGAAATAAGAGTTCATTTACTTTTTATTGCCTCGGAATTCCAGGTTTAATGTGGCTGTCAGTGCGAGTGTGGCGCAGCTGCAGGATGCAGCCCGGGCCGGGGCCAGCGGTGCGAACGACAGCACCGGCCTTGAGTCGCTCCCCGGTCAAAGGGCCCCTCCCCACCAGGGCTGGCGACGGGACTGTGCTAGGACAGTGAGACCCATGGCCTGGGCATGCAGCGGGTCAGGACTGAGCGCGCGAGGACGCAGGCGCAGGCTGCTGCCTAGGAAGAACAGCCGGCGCTGGGGAACGCACACACCAAGGCGAGGGATTAGGCCCAACACCCGCGGAATCCCTCCCAGACCCGGCCCAAAGCTGTGCAGCGCTCTCCCATAAGCCACCGTCTTTACTGGGGGAGCAGGCTGCCTGGTGATTAATATCCAGCACAGTGACCCCATGTTACAAGCCTGCGGGGGCCGGTGGAGGTGGCCATTTCCTGTGTAATACCAGCTTGTTTAAACACTAGCAGTCGAGCTCCACAGCTGCAGAACAAACCCGGAAAGAGTGCAGCGAAAGAAGCCCTGCATTGTGTTCCCGAGCCACCGAGATCAGAGCGCGGGACAGATGGCAAACGACTTGGGCCTCTCTGCTCCCGGGGTGAACGGGGCTCGAGGCGGCTGGTGCGGCAGACCAGCCTGCCCCAGCAAAGGCTGCGAGAGGAAACCAGCCCGGAGGCAAGGGCTGGGGCAGTCTGAGCCAAGAGGGCACCCAGGCCCTCCACCGACTCCACGTAGTGTTTCAGAGGCCTCGGCTTCCTCCTCCCCTTCCAGCCCAGGGGAAGCCGAAACAAAAGCAGCTCCCCAACAGGGAACAAAAGGCATTGGAGGCAGGAGTTCTTCCCAATCACCACTCACCCAGACAGCTGCCGAGAGCCCTTCCTGTGAGAGCCAGGCTGCCCGCGGGGCCTTTGTGCTCTAGGGCTGGTAGCCAAGCCAGGCAACTCAGATGCACAGAACCTGGGAGAGTTCAAAAAAGAAAACCCAAGGGGCTTGGGGGACAGGCTCACAGAGGCCAGCGCCGCAAACGACTGCTCTAGCCCACTCCACCTCCCTGCCTAGCCCAAGCCTGAGAACCACCCTGCCCACAGTCCCTGCATCCAGCTTCAGGGCCTGGCTGCAGGGATCGGTGCTCCTGGGCTGTGCTAAAGGAACTGTTAAGACAAGTCTGTGGGTCAAGGTGCCAGAGGACCTGTCCTTCTCCCATGGCTGGAGAGGCCCTGCTGTTGCTTGCCAAGGCTTCTGCTCGCAAACCTCCAGCTGCACTGAGCTCCCTCTGCAACTTAAGACCATGGGGCAGGCTCCAATCCTTGGCTTTGTTCTCCTGGACTCTCCTCCTCTCATTCTCAACAGGCAGACTGACACCAACGATACGCCCTGGTGTCTTTGATACCAGGACATGGCAATTCTGGTAGTCAGCATACGCTGCGCCAGGCCAGAGTCAAAAGGTTTGTCCATTCAGTCTCTAGCCAGGCTTAGCAGTGCCTCGGTACCTACGTTAAGGCCTGTGGGTGCTGCCGTCCTAAGACCACTTCTATAAGGCTCCGGCATGAGACAAGAATCCAGGCAGACTCTTCCAGACTCCTGGAAGAAGGCGCTTGACCCATCTAAGACTTTGACCAACGGGTTTAAACCATCCCTGTTTTCTGGCTGCAAGCAGCTGACAGCAGTCAGAGGCTCTCCCTCTGTCCCACCAGGGAAGCAGATTAGCCGGGTCAGCCTGGTGCTAACTGTCCAGCTGGCATGGCCCCACCAGCTCTGACGTTTCAACACTGGCCCCCTGGATTCCTCACTGCAGCAAGATGCAGCCTGCTTTCAGGGGGGCATCTGTGCGTCTTTGTGCCCACCCTTCCTAGCCTGTCTCTGTTCCTTTGGCCATGCCCTGAGGGCTACTGTGCTTGCCCTGGGCAACAGCAGCCCAGGCTCTTCAGGACCTTCCTTGACACAGACCTCCCCTCTGTTTTCACCGGCTTTAGCTCTGGCATTGTCCTTTGCCCTTCCCCTCTCCATTAGCACGTGTGCTGCTCACATCTCAGCTCTAGCAGCTCTCCCTCCCGGACTACACCCTGTAGGATGCCTGCTTGAGAGGACAGTTTGGGGGAGAGACCAGATGAGATGAAGCTGCTATTGCCCTACTCCTCAGTCCCAATACAGGTGTGCTCTGCAATAACCTGCATGCAGAAAGAGCGAGTCCTGGAACTCAGAAGAGTGCCCGGAGCAGCCAGAGGGACTGGGACATGCTCCCTTTTCCAGGAGCCCCTCTGGGGTGGGATCCCCAACGCAGATGTCTTGCTGCTCTAAGACACAGCTGTGCAACCATCAGGAGGCTCCAGCCCCCACCCAGGAACTGCAACCCAAGATGGAAACCATGGAGGCCCTTGCTAGGCACTTCTCCCAGGCAGCTGGAGGAGAGGGCTCTCAGACACATGCATGCGAGCTCTAAGAGGAATACAGGTCATCTGTACAGTGCCCTGTGGATCAAGTGAGGTGGTTCTTTGGAAAAGAGCTGCCTTCCCCTGGCCACACAGGGAGCCCAAGCCCTTGGCTGTGGAGAGGACAGCTGTTGAGGGCCGGGGCTCCTTCCCCATCCAGGGGCAGGACCCCTGAGATCCTGCCTCTTGGCTCCCCTCTCCTGTTCACAGAGCCCTGCTGCTGGGATGCTCAACACCGCGGCTGGAGCTGAGCACAGCATTTACCCCTCACACCTTTTCCTCCATCTCTGTCCAGCAGGGAAAGCAGGGAACGGAGGAATTTGGTGTTTTTTTTAATGTAAGGACTCAAATCCAGCAGTGTGATAAATGCATCCGAGCTACAATTAGGAAGATATATAGCATCAGAATGCGAAGGTCTGGGCAGCGTGGTGAAACGCGGGCTCTCCAGAGCCCCAGCTATGTTTCCCATTATGTAACCCTGGTCATGGGCAGACAGCCAGACTCCAAATGAAAAAGAGACTCTGGCTTGGCACCGGTTCTATTTTCCTATCCTCATTCGGGGT